AAAATCGGGTCTTCAAGAGTCATGGGTCTGAATCCTTTTAGGGTATTTACTACCTCACCGAGGTCTATCGATCCATGTAAAAAGCATTAGAATCGGAAGTGGACATCTCGGGAGGTTCACTCGTTAGTGAGAGACCATGAAGGAGTGAGTACAATAGATATTTAATTTTTGCTTGAGATATGTAAGTCCATATGACAACGGTATTGATGAATAAGAGATAACTGTTTGTATAGAATTTAATGTATTTATCTTAGAAGTGAGATCGATGATCGGTATTATAATTGTTTATATAAAAAGTTGAGTGAACCAGAATGGAAAAGTTCTAAAATGTTATCATTATTTTTAAATTTATTGTATAAATCGTTAATGAAAGATACCATGGAAATGAGAATTAAGGTTCGTATGACATTGGTTTTTGTTACTTATTTTATATATAAGATGATTTGTTTCTCTATTCTAGTCTTTTCTAAAACGTTTACTTCAAATTTGTTTATTTAATGACGTTCCGTTTATATGTGGAATTCTACTATTGATATCAGAAGTACTAAAAAAACATCAATTGGGTTATCAACTGTTAAATTATACACAAAGGCCAAATTTTGTAAGTAACAGAGTATTACTAACATCTTGACTCAGTTATAAAAAATTCGTAAGCTTTCATTGAACAGTCAGACCAATGCATTTGTGATGTTTTTTTCAGTCTGCAAGTACTAAATTGGCAGCTGACGACGACGAAGATGAACATTTTCAAGATGTTACTGAAGAAGAACAATCTGAAAATCATATTGTACCAATTTCAACAGAAGAACAGCCAACATCTTCTTGGTTACATAAAAATTTACAGCCAACGAGTAAGATACAGTTGATTTTCAGAAACTAATTCTCTAAACTATACAACTTTTAGAATCATCAACATCGAATCGTTCATTTTCAATGGACTCAACGTATGATTTGTATAAACGTAATCCATTATATTCGGGTAGTGAATATTGTTGTATGCATGAATTAATTATGTTATCAAAACATTGTCATCCAACTGTTGCTTTATTTACACAAAAATTATTACAGGTAAGAATATTTTATTTATTATTCACATTAGACTAACATTTTTTTTAACATTTTTAGGCTAAACCAATCGAATATGATGGTAATCCACTAATTGATTTTACCTCAATGAGATTTTTGGATAGGTTTATTTATAAAAATCCCAAAAAACAATTAAATAAACATGGTATGTAATGTAAAACTCTAATTAGAGTATTAAACTAGTTTCGATGACAGAAAAATGATATGAGAACTACACTTTTCATTGAAAATGAAAGATGCTGATGAATTCATTAATTTGCGAGATTATTTACTGTTTGAAAAGATTATTTCCACTTTTTTATATCTATATTTTAGAAAAACTTGGTCATAAACTGAAAGGCAAAATTTATTTACCAAAAGGTGTTAAATCATTAGCTGTTGATAGTGATGAATATGCCAAATTACAAACAACTAATGTTCCCGTTGATGAACAGTTTTTACATACGTAAGTTAATTTGTCAAGTACATAAAATACAACAACCAGCGTGTGTTTTTTCTATATTTAGATTTATGAAAATGCGTCATGAGAACAGTAAAGGCAGTGAAAATAAAAAGGATGAAGATGAAGATGACAATCGCAGTGTTGAGAGTGTATCAGATACAGAATTCGATAATTATTTAGGTAAGATAACTGAGAGATTGTTTTTAGTGGGTGGTCGGTCGTCGTATTTTCAAGTTTTCTTCTCTTTTTTAGACACCCTTGAGTTCATTTTGTTGCTGTAAAAGCTTCGCTATTTTATTCCTTACAAAAAATATATGGAACATTTTCCTATACAATACAAAACTAAAAAGATCTAGGGAGATATTGTGAAGCTGCAATCTCGATAATTTTCAAATCTAAAATACTGTTCTCTCAATTTTTGCTCTCCATATTATAGGATATGAAAGAAGAGAAGGCAGATATTTTGTGACTCTTAAAAAGCTCTATCAACTGGTTGCGTTTAAAACTCTTCATTATCATAAGACGTTGGACTTGAATGTTATTTTTTTTATTCATTTTGGCAAAAAGTTTCTGCATTTTCGGGGACAGTTAAGAAAGTTTTTATAATTCGGCCAAAATCAAACATTCTGAGATTAAGTTTGTTTTCTCTCACAGCAAGATAACTGGAAGCATCATATCTGGACAGAGAAAGTTCAATGGCTCCATTTCTTTTCCTGTCGCCAGGCAAAAGGGTCGAATTTCACCTTTTTCTGATGAGTATTGATAAAATCGCGTGTTGTGCCAGAGAACACGTTTACAGCGAATCGATGAGAGACGAAAAGGAATGCGACACTTCGAAGCACTCTGGAACACACATACATTCCCATTCCACTTTGCTGCGTGAAACCGTCTTTAACATTTTTTTTTATGTTTTGGGTTGGAAAATTGTCAAGATTGCAGCCTCACAGTATTTCCACTAGGTCTTTTTAGTTTGCACTGTGTAGAAAACCGTGGAAAATGAAATAGCGAATCTTTTACAAGAAATGAACTCAAGGATGTCTAAAAGAGAAGAAAACTTGAAAATAGGAAGACCTAAAAGACACAAACTGAAGAGTCCTAAATGCTTCGAGCAATGTCTGAAATAGTTATAAATCGATTTATAAACGTTTTTTAAATTCTTCATTTATAAATGGGTTATAAACGGTTTTCTACTGGAAAATTGACTGAAAAAAGTTGAGAGTTATACATATTTATAAACTACCGTATTTGGGACTCTTTCATGGAAGCCCGTCATTCGTTATGTCTCACCCATTAAGTTGTTAATTCCCATAGCTTTAACCTGTTTACTTAATCGGCCTGGTCAGCTAATTCGACTACCGGAGTGAAATTCCGTTACATGTGCTTTTGTACTTTGTTTCTCTTATATTTTTCAAACAGCGAGAATCTCAGAGCTCTGAAACGCCTCAGAATAATAAGAAAAGTGTGCCGAAGATTTTGAGATGTACTCATACTCTACATGATCTTTTGTTCAGAAAATATGACAAAAATACAAACATCTACTTTTCAGAACTTATCAGTAGAACTAGGGGTGTTTGTATTTTTGTCATATTTTCTGAACAAAAGATCATGTAGAGTGTGAGTACATCTCAAAATCTTCGGCACACTTTTCTTATTAATCTGAGGCGTTTCAGAGCTCTGAGATTCTCGCTGTTTGAAAAATATAAGAGAAACAGAGTACAAAAGCACACGTAACGGAATTTCACTCCGGTAGTTGAGACAACTGGTCAAGCTGATATCTAACATCTTACACGTGTTATTGTATGTAAAAAAGCTTTGGAAGGATTCTTGACACTCCCGTACCATTTTTCTCGCTTTTTACTACTCTTAACTTAAACTTTCGTTTTATTTATTAGATCAGTTTATGGAGCAAGTCGATCCAGATGACATCGATGAAGAAAACGATATTGCGAGGTAAGATTGAATAATGTTTGAGCGTTTATATTCCAGAGATATTTTTATTCTCTGGTTTATAGTAATCTTCAAAATGTCTCTCGAAAACATTTGGATTCTGATGAAATGACCTATGGTGAAGATGATCAAAGTGATGTGGATTCGGGTGAAGAAGATGAGCGAAGACCATCGAAAAAGCACCAGTTTAATTTGAATGATGGAGAAGACAATGATGAGGAAAATGGCGGTTTGGAGGAACAAGAAACATTCGGAGACAAAAGAGGAAATAATATTGGAGAAAATTTCAAAGTCAATAATGACAAAGGTATGTGGTTTTTTTCTACTAGTACCTATCGATATATCGAATAGTAGTATGATTTTTTATTCTTAGAATTAAAACAAGTGAAATGGGAATTGGATCGTGAACGAAAATTTCGTGATCGTGATCGAAAATATGAATCACATTTGAAAAAGACTGGTCAAGTAAAACGAAAACTAACTCGACGTCAGAAACGAAAAAATTTACATAATGAAAATGTGAAACGTTTAAATCAAAAACAGAAAAAAAAGAAAAAATTAAGAAATACTTAAAAATTGTTTTGTGGTTAGTTTTGTTTACATGTTATTTGTAATTTTTTTTTACAAAAAAGTTATTAAAATAAAGTTAGACACTGTTTGATATGTATTTGATTAATTGCATGAAAATATTTATTCGTATAAATTGTTTGATATACAATAGTATAGATGTGATTTAGGTCATCTTATTTAGTCGGTATATGTGTATATAACAAACAGTTGTTAGATGATCTTTTCGTTATGTGTGATATGCAGACTCGTAACATAGTTAAAATATTGTTTCATTTATCTAATAGATGAATTATTAATACTATTAGTTTCTTCTGATGTTTGATTAACTGACAAGATACAGTTAATCAATATGTCATCTTCCTGTATGTTGTTTTTTTGTTTTTTCTAATTCGTAAGTTTTTGTAGTATTGTTTCATTTAGCAAGAGGCAGTATATGGTAATTTTTATTTTTTATTTAACAGAAAAAGAAAAGATTATACAATATTGGTTACGCATACCTTGTTACTTCTTAGTGTTATGGAAAATCTGTTTTAAAAGTACAGTATGTGTTTATGGTTAGATTGTGATATGGTACACCATTTAATATCGAACATTCGATTTTTTTTTAGAGTTTCGATTCACTAAAGGAGTACATCGAAATGGTATTTGGACACCGTACTTCTTTAAGAAAATGATTAATTTGAAAATCTTGTTTAGTTGACAGATTGGCCTATTCGATAGATTAATGATTACTCATAAATGTTTGATGGTAGGTTGATGATCATAGCCTTGATATCGACTATGTTACTCTTAGACAGAACTAGAGGGCATATTATATAGAGAACTGTAAAGTAAATCTCGTTTGAAGTGTTAACAAGAAAAAGATATGTCCTTGAACTTTTTTCAAATGCCATTGTTGATTATTGTTCTTCTAAGAGCTGGAAAAAAAAAGATAAAAAATAAGAGAAAGAATTGATGGGTTTTAAGCATAAATATAAGAAAAAAGAAAATAATAGGATTAATAAATAAGAAAAGATTGTGAAGTCTCTGTGTTATTGTTTGTCATTGTAACACTTCAAATTTTCAAATTTTCGTTATTACAAAAAAACTTTTTTTTTTTAAGTAACTAACAACTATTTCTTCATTTGAACATCAAAAATGTTTCTGATACACGCACGAGCCTCTTGATATTATAATTATTCGAAGGTTGTCTTTTATATTCAACATACAACTTCGACTCTTTTCTCATATATATGCTATATTTATTTCTTGTTTGAATGTATGTGTGGATAGGTACAATCGTTTTGAGACAACACGTAATATGTATAGCAGATGTGAATTCTAGGAGATTAATTTGTTTTTCCCTTGATGTTGACATATGAAAAACTAAATAGATACCATATTAATAGCCAAATTAGAATAGTTATCGAATAGAAATAAAACTAGAATATTCAAAAGATATATTTAATTTAATTATTTTATCCATTTCATTCTTAAAAAGTTGTTTAGAAGCATTTTTTTACTTCTTTTCATAAATTTGTTCTTATCGATTGTTGTTGCATTTTACTACACTAATCCATTGTTATTGTTTTTCTTTGTACATTTGTAAAGTAATGTTGCTTAGAATGAGATGATTAATCTCTAAAAAATGTACAGTAGACATGATACTGATTGATTTCATCTGGTCAGATTATTTTTAAACGACTCTCCTCTATAAAAACATATGTTTTTCCCCGTTCTCTTTCTTTATCATCTATATATATGACAGATGGAACATTGATTAAAATATAATTTTTCTGGCCATGACATAATGCCATAGAATGTTACATTTACATTCGAGTATAGCAGTAGTTCTTGCCTATTTTTGTCTGGCTTTTCTTTTTCTTGTACATATATAGACGTAAGAACTATTTTTTTCTTCTTCTTTACATTAACAGCAAGCAACAATCTCAGTCTTTCATATCACTGCAGTAATCATGATTGGTGTTGGTACCGTTTCTAGACCAAATTCTAAAAGAGAGAGAGAGAAAGAGAAAAGAGAGAATAAATTTTACCGCAGATTCCGTTATATGTTCTATCACACACGTATTTGTCATTACTACTAGTTCTACCTCATACAACTACGAATGATTTAATATTCAGACATTTTTTCTTTGTATACCTTAATTGAACTTGTCACACATGAGAAGATTTTTCTTTTCTTTTATTTTTCTAAAAGACATTCTTTAAAAATCAGTCATATTGAAATATGATGAGAAACGAATATTTATGTTTTACAAAAAAAGAATCATTTTTTTTTTTTCTTGTTTGTCAAACTGGCAAGTGTAGTCACATCGGAAATCGATTTTTCAGATAGAAATCATAATGCACTACCTAAAGGTATGAAATTTCTCATCAAATTTGATGTTTTTTTTTTAAAGAAATTTCTTAAGCTTTTGCCTATTTTGTCTATTAAGCGCAAATTTGTAAACATTAAATTTCTGTTGACATTAACGTAAAATACTTAAATTGAACGGTTTCCTTTTAATATACAAAGTTTTTCATTCGATATTATTGATTTTTTAATTCACCTTTTTTAATTCTCATTGTCACCTATTTTTTTCAAGTTCTTCAGTGTGCACCATATTTGCTGCCTTTTATTTTGTCCTCAAGAAGTGTATGCTATTGATTAAACAATCATCGACTATTCGCTTTCTATTTGATTACGTTTACAACTTTTAAATTTAAAACTCTCACACTTTTCATGTTCTAAAAGTAGCACGGTCACATATAGTAAATACGACAGTAACACGTGAAATTCTCTTCAATAAGTTTTATGTTCAAACATTTCGTTCGCGCGTTTTTCTTCATTTTTTAAACCACATTCGTTCTTCTCTTTCTTTCTCTCTATCCCATAATCAGATCTTTTTCTTTTCGATAGAATATAGATATATACTACATGGTGTATATAAGGTTATATTAAAACGAGAGAAAAAGTAAAACACCCGAGAGTGTGAATGACCAGGTCGAACTATTTTTTTTCGTTTTGTATTTCTTCCAATATAGAAGAGAAGAAAAAAAGTCTTAATGTAAAAAGCATACGAAAAGAACAGAAAAAAAAAATAGAATAATACTGAAGAAAACGTACTATATATTTTATTTATTATATTTCGTCTTTCGTCGCTGCATTTTATTTATTACTTAATATCAAACGTGATAGTCAACTTTCAATTAGTAATTGTATTAATATGTTAAGAAAATTGTTCGATTACGAACAATTCTATTTATCGTTAAAAATTACGATTTTTTAATATTTGTTTTTTTTTTAAATTATTTATATAAATGATTCGTCGTTTCCGTAAAATATTTCGTGGTGGTAGTGGTACGGGAAAAAAATCGTCTAGTCGTGAAGTAACGCCTGAACATAATCGACCATATTTAATTCAACAAGCGTATATTAAAGAAGTACCATCCAAAAATACTAAAGGTAAGATGAATAATATAAAAAAGTAGTATTCAACTAAACTCGATAAAAATCCCATAATTTATCAGTTTTTTTATCTATAGCATGTTTGTCAGATTGTATAGAAAAACTTTAAACATTTTAATACTTCACACAAAATACATTAAGGATGAATCATGTTAGTTTGTTACATTTGATTTATTTTTTATGTGTCATGACACATAATTACTTTTACAGTATACGGTACACTTAGCGTTTTAAGTTGTTTAGATAAAAACTACCGATTAAAAGTCACTAATTGAGTTTAAATTCAAATATTGTACTTTATGTTTTATTTTATCATCACCGCCCTTTTTCACTCTCTAGTCCATTTATCGAATGAAAGAGACTTTCAAAACTCTAATTATCTTCTCTTTATACAGCACATTTTATGATAAATATCACACAAGAATTTTTTATCATAAAACTCTTAACACAAAGAAAAAAACGTGGCCAATGTATTTTTAACTATATTTCTCTTTACAATTTAGAATTTCTTCAATTTGTCTTGATGTTTATGTTTTTTTTAAAAATGAAAAAACAAATAGTTAGTTTTTTTGTTATTATTCAAACGTCAAGGCTTCTCTTTGAATGGGAAAAAAAAAAATGTTAAAATATTTGTGTTTAGTCAAAAATAACAGATATAAAGAGAAGAACAAAAAAAAAACAAAAAAACTCCATTCATAATTTATGATAAAAGAAAATCTTTTAAAAATAGATTTCAAGGTTGCTATGTTTCACATTGTTCGTTTTAAGTGTATTATGACTTAACAGTATTATTATTATTATTTAGCTGTTTTTAATAAAAATATCGTTTATATTTTATCTTTTTTATAAATTTTTGAATACACTATAATATAATTATTCCTTAAAAACCCTAAAAATTCTCTTGTTCTTAACCATTGATTCTGTGAATTATAACAGTGTTAAAAAGTTTTTTTTATGAATGAATAAAAATCCAATTTCGATTTTCTTTATCTCGAAATTTAGAAGATGGTACAGATTAATGGATTGTACATTTAGAATGGTTCAGATTGTCGAGTACACACACGCATATATATATATATATATTATATACATATATTTACACACTATAATAATCTTTTCTCCCTTTTGTGTAAAACTTGTCACTTCATTTGTTATCTGTCAAATAGAACATTATTACCTGTATACTTGTACACTTCACGATGTTCTTCTTTTTCACTAAATACTGAATTTTTTTCTTCTTCTTCTTCTTATGTCTCGTAATAAGTAGTCATCCTTGTAGTCTTTATCACTGAACGTAGAAATAATAGTACCTCTAGTCAAAACTATACTCCATTTTTCATTCTTGCTCTCATTTCAAGGATAAAAGCTCAATATACATTGTAATGATTGAGAGATCAAGGTTACTAAACAAGCAATTTTATGAGTAGACTTTTAACGTATATGGCTTATTCAAAGAATGATTAATACTTAGATCTAAAAAGAAAAAGCATACAATTCTCCAAAATACATTGTTCTAGTTTTAAAATTCAGTGTATATCA